CAAGCCGCGGGGTTAGTTTCATTATACAAAGGGTTAATGCACGATAGGTTAATGTTTGAATTACTATACCTGATGTATAGACAGCAAGACTTGATATGGGAAGACCTTTCAACCTCCTCTTGGTCTCTCCTGGTAACCATACTTCTTGATGAATTCGTCACCTTAAAACAACTGACATTTATCATCACTTATCATCACTCTTTTATATCCAATCAGCATACACCGTTAGCGCAGGCGGGGTAACAATTCTATTTTCATCCCTTAGAAAAACATTAAACGCACAGCATTAAAGGCTATTTATGAAATGTAATTTAACATTAACTTCTCTTTTTGAACCATAATCAAGTAGTATTTAAGGTTGTCATAAGTAAGTTAATAAACGGACCCCTTTCTCTAGTGGTTCAAGAAATAAACATCTACTCAGAGAAACTCTATCTACAGAAAAGCTTATTATTAAAAGAAAAAATATCTCATGTTACATTGAAAAATATAAACTTTCGACGTAAGAATATAGCAAAAATGAAGAAACATATTTTCCATGACGTCAAGTCTTTTATAACGTCATTATACCTGACATAGACGCCATCTACTATGTTATAATGTAACTAACCGCTTGTGGTACTGCGTTTGAAGATAAATTGAAAACTTACGCTGAAACATGGCTGAATCTTTTTTAAAATTAAACGCATACGCTGCGCAAGGGTATTCAGGTGACAGTAAATTTTAAAGTTTTTTAATTTTTTAAACATTTTTAAATTTATTTTCTAGATATAACCCGACGTTCTGAAGAGCATTTTAATTTAATACCGCTTAACTCTCTCTTTCACAAATTAACACTTCTGGACGCAATCGTCACCCATAGACATTACAAGCATTGAGTGCACGCACCAAGAAATTCACAGGTTTTTATTTACATTCATACCTCTGCCGAATTATAACATTTTGTAATTATTTTCTCAACCACTATTTTACTCTTTTCTACAATCCTATGGATGGATATCTGTTACTCTTTCATGTAAAAACTACTGAACGGATTTGAATGAAATTTGATAAAGGGATAAGTCATACCTAACTTAATAGGTGCATAAGATACTTTATATACCACTCCACATAGGCGAAACCCCAAAATATGTCTAAATGTTTTGCAAAGTGTTTGTTTATTTACAAAAATTGCAAATAAATTAAACACCATCTTTAAATTGTGAAGTATTTCTCAATTCACCTGTTTTTTCATATAAAATATATTAGATGTTGATTTCTATAATTCGTTTTACAATTTGTATTGTATTGTAAAAATCTTTATTGTACATAAGTCAAATTAAATACTAGTAAATGATTTAGTATACAATGGCGGACTTATCCCATAAAGGGATCTCTTACAGTCAACCTTTGAGAAGCTGAAAGAAAACTGTAGAATGTATAAGGGTAATAACCGTACAATTAAAGATAAACTAAATAATACCCAGTAAAAAAAAAAAAAAATTGAATATATAACACAATAAAAACAGCTCTATATACCTACATATGTAAATAATAAAAGTAAATTAATAATAATATAACATTAATAAATAAAAACTTATACACATACACATACATATATACACATATACACACATACATATACATATATATATACATACATACACATACATATATACACTCCTACATACACATACATGTATACATAATAAATACATATATTCACAATTGGCTCAATGAAGAGGGATTTTCAAAATAAAATTTTATGATACCTGCTTTAAAAGATATGCCATCTTTAATATTAGTGAATTCCAGAGACGTGCAGCATGTACAGTAAATGACACATAGCTTTGAGTATTAAAACAAGGCAAATCTATAATGAAGTCATTACTGCATCTCAGGCGAACATCAATTTCGCGAAATTTGAATCTTTCCTGAAGGTAATGTGGACATGTTGGATTAAAAAGGATATTGAAAAGAAGAGTAAGAATGTGGACATTTCTCCGTAGCCTGATAGGAAGCCATTTGAGTTGACTGCGATAACTAGATATGTGGTCATACTTTCGAAGGTTATAGATGTATCTAATACATTGATTTTGCAGTCGCTCAAGTTTATCAACAAGCTCCTGTGTGGGATCTAGGTAGGCAACATCAGCATAGTCTAGAAGAGGAAGAAGAAGAGATTGAGCCAGTAAAAGTCTAGTTCCTAAAGGGAGGAAGTTCTGCAGGCGCTTTAAGGAATGTAGTGATGCGTGGATTTTTCGACTTACTTCACCTATATGAGGACCCCATGACAGTGTCTGGTCTATAACAATTCCCAAATTTTTAACAGTAGTGGAATATGGGATTATTTTTCCGTCATAAATAACGTTGGGAACTGTTAAATACCGAAGTTTAGCAATAAAATGAGAACTACCCATAATGACCGCTTGAGATTTATCTGCGTTAACTAAAAGCCCAAAATCCTTCGTCCACTTAGCAATTACGTTCAAATCATTATTAATTACATCTACAGCATTAGTAAGGTTGTAGATGGGAGCAGCAGTATATAATTGCATGTCGTCTGCATACAAATGAAATGAAGAGAGGAGAGCAGACGTAATTCCGTTGATGAAAATTGAGAAAAGTACAGGCGAAAGAACTCCACCCTGAGGGACACCTGCATTAATCACGCACCAGTCAGAACAACAGTCATCCACACGTACCAATTGGCGCCGGCCAGAAAGATATGATCGGAACCATGCCAGAGCCAATGATGAGAATCTAAATTTGGAGAGAATGCCGAGAAGTACATCAAAGTCCACAGTATTAAAAGCACTGGTAAAATCAAGTAGCACTAATATTAAAATATTCTTTTTGTCAATATTAAGTCGAATATCCTCAGTAATTTTTAGCAGTGCAGTAACCGTGCTATGACCGGTACGAAAACCAGACTGATACTGACTCAAGAGATCATTACGATAAAGATATTTAGTAAGGCGTCGATGAACAAAATGTTCCAATACCTTTGAAAGTACGGGAAGGATTGAGATAGGTCGGTATTCCGAGAAAGTAGACGGATTGGATTTTTTAGGGAGAGGAATAACATGCGCCAGTTTCCAGGATGTGGGAAAAGTACCAGTAGAAAGAGAAAAGTTTATAATGACGGCTAATATATGTGCTATAAGATCCTTGATAGGATCCAACATATCCAGACTGATATTATCATTGCCCACTGCCTTAGATTTGATAGAATTCAAAATGTCTATTACCTCTTGTGATAATATAGCTCCCAACTCAAATAAGTCTGCATCGGAACATACACTACAACTACCGGCTATCTGTGCTAGTGTAGACTGTTTGGTTGCAGGATCATAGTAGATAGGTGAGGTACTAAAATGTTTGTTAATCGCATTCAAGTCCAGGTTACGACCTATTGTGTGTTGCTGTTTGCCCACACCCAAACCTTTCAAGAACTTCCACAGTTTATTCGGTGGACAGTTCTCAATTCCCGAATGAACATACTTTCGTCTAGCAGCCCTACATAGTTTGCTGCACTTGTTACGCAACTGCACGTATCTATCACGCTCTACCTCGGAAGGATGATGTCGCAAACGTATTTTAGCTCTATCCCTAAGTGCCATAATTTTTTTCAAGTCGTCTGTTAACCAGGGTGCAGGTAGATGTCTTACCCGAACTGGTCGAAGTGGGGCATGCTTATCATAGATTGTCAACAAAATTGAGTTGAACACTTCCACTTTGGAATCAATATCTGCCGCAGCCTCCACCGCAGCCCAATCCGCACCAGCGACATCGTTCCGAAGCGAAACGACATCAACAGTCTTATAGTTGCGCAACATCATAACCCTATATTTACGTTTTGGAGGTCTTAATTTATATGATGCGAAGACAAGGTCATGTGCTGAGAAAGCTGTTGCATTGAACATTGCAATTTGTGGTATTATTTCCTGTGTTGACCTATATTAAGTTAGTCACATTAAATTCACTATACTATTTGCATGACATATTATATTATATATTATATATATTATATTATATTACACTGTTAGTAATAGCAATCTGTAACATTACACTATAAAGAAGAGTCCACGCTAACCATTTAAACCAAACTTCATTTTTTATCAGCAGTAAAAATAAATAATTAAAAATATAATTTCATCACATCCTCTTCACATTCAATTATAAGAATAGAATTAATATTCTTTTTTCAATAAGTACAATTACTATTTTTCTTTTCATTAAATTAAGCTCGCTTCCACGCGATGAAACATTTCAAACTACATACCATCTTAAGCCTTCCTATTCATAAAATTGTCAACCGTCTGTTTTAATGAAGGTATCGCATCTCTTTCTTTCAGACTGTATTCTTAATAAATAAAGTTTTATTATTAATATTTTTATATACTATTCGATTTCAAACACAAAATTGCATCTTCTATGAAGAAAAAAATTGTTGGAAATAGTACTAATATTAGATTACTATTATCAATTCTTATGGGGAAGGTTTATGTTCAGTAGGTCAGCAATTCCTAGGTGGGCATATTGAGAAACTGTAAAACTCACCTAATCTAATTAAATAAGTGCATAATCTATGATAATGGAAATTAGCAATATACTCTGTCAGATCGACCTCCACGTGGTCTGGGAACCGTTATGATTAACTCCTGTTGAAACCTCATCTATTATTTCTCAACCAGCGTAAAACAACAGCGAATATAAGATTACTACTTTATTTTCATTCTGTTAAAAAATCATTAACCACACTTTTAAACGAATACCCAAAAAATAATTATAATGTTTTAAATTATATGTAAGTTTCGTGATTACACTGTAATTTCAAAATGTCTCTACAGATTTGGACGTATAGAGCCAATTTTGAATCCTTATATCATATCAAATGACACTAGCTATAAGTGTTTTTAGTCAATATGGCGGCTGTACGATGCCATTTTCAAAAGTAAAAAAGCTTTTGACACGGTTGTCGTGTTTTTAATTTTTTTTTTTTTATTATCTGTCCATAGTTCAACGGTGTGTGGGGATTGCCAGCTGTCGTCTGCGACTGCTACATAGCGATGGATGTTACCTGCTCAACTTCTAGTATATTCAATCTGGTCGCTATATCTGTTGACAGGTAAAAGCTTTTTTATTAGCTGGACAACTATATTCTTGAGACCACAGACTACCTTGCAGCTACACAAAACATCATTTCTCCTGTGCTTATGTAAAGTTTTATAAAGATATTTCAATATTTAAATTTCAATTACGCTTAAACGACTGAATGGGTTCGAAGAAAATGTAAATAAACATATTATTTCATAATTCTTTGATAATAATGTTGCAAAAATTAGTTTACTTTTATTGCGGTGTTAATAACATTAATTATATTGTAATATAATCACAATGTATTGTGATGGTCATGTATGACCATCACAATACATTGAGTTTTCCATAATACTGTTCATATCTATAGATGACAATTAAAAAGGACAATTTCAATCGTAAACACACACACACACACACACACACACACACACATGTACGTACGCACGCACGCATGCATGTACGCACTCACGCACTACACGTGCCCATTCGTCATGCCGCGTACACACACGCGCACATGCAGCACTCATATATACGCACACCCACACCGATGAAAAACAATGTAAATGAATATGAGACTCATAAAAATTAATAGTAGTAAATACTGTGTTTTGGAATATAAAATGCCGTGTGGACCCGGCATAGACCACCCCTTCCATTCACATGGGTGTTGTAAGAGGCTACAAAGGGAGCTTAATGGTCAAGGGATAGGAAACAACGTCCTTCTTAAAACATCGCCAAAGCCTAACTGTAGTTGCCAACTCGCCTACCAAGTGTGACAGCTACTAGCAAAACACACTGTGAATTAAAAGATTCAGTACATTTTTCATATGATTTTTTTTAATCAAAATAAATGTCATTTGATTTTTTTTAATCCTAACCGTGAAAATTATATCTTTATATTATTTATGTTGTTCACAGATACATAGCTGTCACCCAACCAATTAAATACGCAAAACACAAAAGCAGCGGGCGCGTTTGGCTGATGATCATAGTGGCATGGCTGGTGTCTGGGGCCATAGGATCCCCAATCGTGCTTGGCCTCAATAACACTCCAGACAGAAGCCCCAATCAATGTCTATTCAATAATACAAACTATGTAATATATTCATCTCTGGGATCCTTCTACATTCCTTGTATTATAATGATGTTCCTGTATTATAATATTTTTAAGGTAAGTATTGAATAGCATTACTGTATCTCTTCAAAATTACATCATGCAATGGTTATTTTACCCGCTACTTCGTACAAGTTTCAGGAGTAGGAAAACTAGTGAAGTAGACTACTTCTAGATGGTGCTTCGAAATAAAACACACCAAATTTGAAAGTCAACGTTTAGGAATCTAACTATGAGAACATGCGGTTGTCACAAGTGCTTTCTTAATCAAATTTAGTGCTGTAATTTTCGCGTTATACCGAAACAGTCATATAGACAGACAAAATTTTTAAAAAACTTTTTTGACGTCTGTTGATGTTATTAATCGCGTCTCTCCCATTATATTAATTTTTCTTAAATATCTGTCATGTACAAATATCTCTTGGTTATAATTTTCTTGAGTTAGTAAAATTACTTCATATCATACCAAATCACATTATCTTATAAATGTAAATTATAAAAACTCACATATCATTTTTAGAGTTAGTATTTTTATTTAATACTATATTAACTAACTGAAATAAAAAGTAGCATATACTTCCTTTATCCCATACAATTCAATTGTACCCAATTTCATAACAATCAGTTGAGCAAACAAACTTACTTTCAGATTTCAAATATTTCTGAGGATTTTGCACAGAATATGATATAAAAATTACTATAATAAGACTAGAATTATAAATAAATTATAATAGAAAAGATTTTAATTATTCTATGTAAAACCTTAGGTAAATGGAATATTTCCTGTTTGTACAATGCATGTACTATGCATTATTTAATTTTATCTACACTATAGTGGAAGTGTAACCGGCAGAGTCTTAACGTTTAAAAGCAATCTGTTCCAGACAATCCTCAGCCAAAGGAAATTATAAGAGTAAAAAGAACTAACTACGAGTAAAAAGTTTTTAATATTCTCAAGAAGAATGCTATGTCTGCTTAAGACCATTACTTGTGGCTTTGTGACGGAAAAGTCTATATTATTTATATTTGATCAATATATACTTGAATATTACCATGATATAATGACTTTTAACAGACTAATCGAAAAAGCTCAAATTTTTTAAATAAATCAAAAATAAAATATTCACAAGGCTTTTATCACTAATGGAATAATATCAGCTGTTAACTGCCCACTGCTGAATATAGCCTTCCCATATGGGAGGTTTGGCTAGTAGTTACCACGCTTGGCATGCGAGTTGGCAACCGTAGTTAGGCTTTAGTGATGTTTTAAAACGGACACTGCTGCCTATCCCTCGAGCATTAATTTCCTTTAGTCGCCTCATACGACATCCACGGAAATGGAAGACGTAGCCCATTCTATGCCGGCATCATACGGCATAGAATATCACAATATTTTTTTTCAAACATTACCGACTATGATTGCGGTAACTTCAATTATGGTGAATGCAACATTTCACATGCTGACATTTCGCCCAGCATTTTATAAACTAATGTAATAGGGTGTGAACTTATCGTCATTACTCAGATTAACGTTGTTTATTAACAATTTTTTATATTACTCGATATATATTAACAGTTTTTTACATTACTCGATATATGTCATATATATGATCTGATACTGCTTAGTAGTTTATATTCATACAAATTCATTATTTATATACTTAAACTTTTTTAAAAAAGCAGCAGCTGAGTTTCTTGCCTAATTTTTTTTACTGAAATTGTGATCCGAATGGGCGATAATGAAAAAATGACTGTTCAAAAATGCTTAAATCTAAATTTACTTGAATAAAAATATTTCTATCTATTTATCGAGAACAAAACAAAAATTTAAATAGATATAAAAATTTTAATATCGACCTGATTCGAATTTCCTTCAATTCTTCGAAAACCGCTCACTTTGTGTTCTGAAAATCGAGATAATAAGCCACTGAGCCACAATGCTCTCGAATATCTGCAAAAATATTATTTCATATAATAATAAAGCAAAATGTGTAATATAAAAATCAATAGACTTCATTTACAAATGGATTCAACTCCTGGGAGAATTCAGACCACGAAAGTAATAATAAATAATCGATTCCCCGATTTCAAGATCCATTTATCTAAGGCAGGAAAAATCGCATGCCGTTACATCGAGCCTTGTAATAAAAGGATGCAATTGATCCAAATGTAACCCTTACTATTAATATAAATATGAAAGTAAATTTTAAATATTATTAGTTTAAAAACGTGCCTACAAAAATTTAAAAGACCGACAACACACAAGCTACTCTCCTCTCGTGTTGTAAGTATTCATGGGCAACGGTAATTGCTTTCAGGTAGTCTGCCTGAAAAAATAGATTACAAATGTTTATCATGGCAGAACCGGGCATTTTTATATAAAAATAAAACTATGAAATCGATTTTGACTAAATTTCTATAAACCCAAACTGAAAGTATATACTTCCAGAAAAAAATTACTAAATCCGATTATGGTACACGACCGAATTTTGAGATAATAAACATAAAAAATACAATCGAATTGAGAACTACCTTTTTTGAAGTCGGTTAAAGATGAAATTAAATATATCAATGTAATACAATCCATCAGTGCAAGTGTCTTTCGTTTAAATTCTTTCAACTGTTTAAACGAAACTGAGTAATAAATATCCAAATATCTTTATAAACTGTCGTATTTACAATAATAATAGAATTTAAATTTCCGAGTATTTTAAGCAACTTGAAAAGGGAAGACTATTCTCCATTCCGTTGCATTTTATGGATATATTATAAGATAGCTACGATAATTCTAAACCTTGCAATGATAATATTTTTAGAATCGTTAAGGTTACTTCTGTGCTAATCAAATACTTAGTCACAATTTAAATAACTTTTTTAAATTTATTTAAAGCAAGAGCGAACTAGTGTTTGCCTTTAGTACATTAGCATAGATGATATTCATTTCAAAATATGCTTAGTTTTTAGGATAATATTCATCATAATAAAAAAAATGGTCGACTAATAACGTACATTCGGGGGGAAAGGGATTGTTAGTAATGGAGACTGAGAATCCCATTGCTAGCAATATACCCAAACAGGCCGACCTCCTCGCGGTTCCCCCTGGAAACTATCATGGTTAATTCCTGATGAATTCATCATGATAGGCTAACTGGCCTGTTTTTATTCTCATCGATCACCCTTCACTGGTGCTCCGCCAGCGTATCCCGTTAGCGTAGGCGGGGTTACCATATCATTTTCACCTATCAAAAAAAAAAACAACGTACATTCAACGTTCACTACAATGCCAAAAACTGGCTATCTTTGCTTATTATTGGATTACATTTGGGAGCATATATATATTGTATTTTACGGAAACGTAGAAAATATATAAGCACCTGTCATTGACAGCTAATAACAAAAGATGAAACGCCAATACTACGTAAATATCGAAAAAACTATATTAGTTATATTGCAAGTAACAGCGTGTGACGATCGCGTGGAAATAAACGGTTTCATATCGCTTTTACGTTATTGAATTTTGTTTTGTTATTTCTTTCAAAATTGTTACGCGAGAGCCTTAAGCTTAAGTGGTTTACTATGCCGACACAAAGAGATGTTTGTGAGTTCTAATATTTTTGTCTTAATTTATATTTCTGGCTGCTATGTTTGCCTGGACGTAACTGCTATTCAGCCATAAACCCGCCCATTGTCATCTTTTTCCTTTTTTTTATATTATGCTTCTTTTTCTGCTATATATTTTATAGAATTATATCTTTGTTTGAGAACGCTACATTATTTTTACTCATTCATTTATGACCATTATTTGTATAATGGTATAACAAGTTTAACATATCACCGTAATCTTTCTCAATAATGACAACGTATAAGGGGTACCATGGATATCACAGAGTATTCTGTGACATCTACGATGCTGTTCTTATCTATAAATGATGTTTACCGCTTTCCATCAGGTGGGCCGTCACTTTGTTTTGCATTCTAAGTTCATAAAAAATTAAAACTTTAACTACCTTAATACATGAAGCGATATAGACTCTTCTCTCGTCATGTTGAACTTGTCTTAGCTTAGCGAAATGCGAGCAAGTTTAATGTTACGGTAATCCGCAACGTTAACAGACAACAATACCTCTGAAATCCCCACGGGATTACCATCGTGATTATACTTTTATGTTTATAATGTTCCTATAGGTTTATTTTAACATCCCATTCATCATAATTTAGACCCCATTAATTTTCTGCCCGTTCAAGAAGAAATTTATAGGTACGCTGACTCATTTATTTTACTTTTGTGAATCCGATTTTCATTATATAAAATATTGATTCATATGTTTACGACATTAATAATAATCAGCATCAACATATCAACTATTAACTGTCCACTGCTAAACATAAGACTCTCTTTGGGAGGTTTGCCAATAGCCGCCATGCTTGGCAGGCGGGTTGGCAAACATCGCTAAGTGAAAATAATTTAATACATAGTTACCATACCATATCTGATACTGAATATAGGCCTTCACCGTAAGGGGGGTTATGCCAGTAGTTGCCACACTTGACAAACGTTGACAATCGTGGTTAGGCTTTGATGATATTATAAGATGGGCACTGCTGCCCAGCCCTCGACTATTAAATTACATACCCTTAAATGTTGTCTTTTTAATATTTAGCTTCTTTTAATTCAATCATACTTTTAGAAAATTATCAGATATGTACTCTATCTATTTTATATTTCGATATATGAATAAAAATCTGTAACGGTGTAAGCATATTATAATTTATATTATAATTTGTATTTCGACAATGTAATGCCAAAGTGGGTTACATTAACGTAAATAATTAATAGCCTTGAGAATTTCAGAAGGCTCATAAACTTTGGTATTAATGGAAGTATCTTCTAACATTCTAGTTAGAGAAACTCACTTGTGAACATAATTAATTAATAAAGTAAAATCTGAGCTAAGCGTTCACTTCAAGAAAGCTAATAGGTCTTAGATTTAATGGTCTTACAGATTGTGGTACAAAGTATGTATTTTAATTATTTTATTTCTTGTAAATTTTCACTACATTATATCATCATTATATCAACAATTAACTGTGTGGACTCTCCCTATTAAAAGGTTAACCAGTAGTTGTCACGTTTGGCAGATTGGTCGGCAACAATAGTTAAGTTTTATTGGTTTTTTTAAGAGGCACGCTGTTGCTCATTCCCTTACCATTAAGTTCAATTAGTCACCTCGTAAGACATCTCCGCGAAAACGCACCACCAAATGCCGTTTATCTTTGAATAGCAAAAAACTGTTTATTACGAAGCTAAATCTATTTGAAAATATTTTTTTTTTGTTTACTGACCTCGGATATTATTTTATATACCGTTCAGGTTCACATCACTTCAAACAATAAATTGTTTATTTTAAAACTATGATACCGGTTCACAGACTTTAATAAAAAATATACAGTAAAAAGTAGCTAGGTATTTTGTGATGCCTATCGATGTCAATATTTGGGACAACAATATAAATAGTTATATAACGCTATGAATATTCATTTATGTTATTTTGTGGATAATTTTAAGTAATATTCTAATGTTATTAATATAAAGGCTGTGCAAACTCCTAACTAACGTAGTGGGTTTTTACGTTGTAACTCTGTCTGTGATTACTTTAATTGCTGTAATAATGATCTGTATTGATGCAAAACACATTATATTTAAAAAAATTGTAGATATAAGTACCATTGTATATCAAATATTCAATATAAAATAATGCCAAAAAAGAAAACTCTTTAACGGCGTAATTGCAGCTACTCTATATACCTAGTAGTTATGTATTAATTCCAATAACTTAAAGAATTTGGAAACATTCATATATAGTACTTCTTTCCAGGCTATACGGCAAAGAGCAAAGAAACAAAGAGTAGCAAAAAAAACGTCATCGGTAATTACTTCGGCTGTGTCAAGTGGCACTGCCGCAGTGGTCATAGAGAATGTTGCCCAAACGCAACGGCTAGCAGATGGATCACTACAAGACGACAAACCCACTAATACAGCGTCAGGCAGCAATGAAGATGAGGATGACGATAAGTAAGTACTATCTAATTAAAGATTTCAAAAGACCGGCTGACCCGGCAAACATTGTTTTGCTCCCTACCGCCATCTACCGATTTTATCAGAATAAGATATTTCTTATCTCTCAAGTTATAGTTATCTCTGAACACAAAAACATTATACCTTAGTCCTTAATAACGGCAACGCATAAAGGATATCATGAGCGGCAAAGTACACTCGGTTATGTTCATGTCTATAGGCGATGTTTATCACTTTCCATCACGTGAGCCGTCACACTGTTTACTATTCCAAGTTGTATAAAAAAAGTTAAAGCAAACAATAGACATAATAATTAAAAATCTGTTAAACGGTTTCAAAGATGAGTGGTTTTTATGTGGAATATTGTGGCATATTTTTTTATAAATAAAAATAATGAAAATAAATAAAGATAATGGATTGAAACATTTTTCTGACAAATCGATATCACAGATCTTAGAGAGATCTGTTGGAAAGTAGACATTTTTTATTCTATTATTTAATATTTTCGGATATAAGATTATGAATTTAAAATATAAATAAATATTTCCATATTTGTATCATAATTTTAAATATTAAATTAAAATTTTATACTACTATTATAAATGTGAAAGTTTGTAAAGATGACCGTAATATTTGATTATTTGTTACGTTTGTACTTAAACATGAACAAAGATCTGCACACAAACAAATGGAAAACTATCTATCAATGGAATCATCAATCGCTAGTGACTCCATTAGTTAAATAAGACATCGGACATTACTATCTCATCCCAGGATCTTGCTTGCAATAACGATTCCATCAATATATTCGCTTGCATGTGTAGAATCAAATCATCAAATTTAATTCAAATCCATTAGAGTAAATACCGGGTATTTTATATTCTAATTCATACAGGTAAAGCCAAGGAATTCAGCTATTCAATATTATTATAATAATTTGGAAATATGACTCGAAAATTATATTGGATGTCAGAAACTAGAACTTCGGTAAATTAGGAAAGTTTCAGTATTAACACTATATATACAACTAGGCCCGGGAAATACGAGCCAATTCTGATTTTACAAGGGTCTGTTGTTCAAATATTCAAAATTCCATAAACATTCTCAAAATATAGACAAAACGATATCATTATTAAATTGATATGTTCCAAAATCAAGCACGTTTTACAGCAATATGTATGTCAGTGTGAGTGTGAGCATGCATGCGTGCGTTTTGCATGCATTCGGGCATGTAGCGCGCATGTGTGCTTTCGTACGTGGTATATTTATAATGTTCACAACGCGTTGGTCAACAATTAAAAAAAAACGTTTCGGGAGAACTATTAGGAGAACCTAATTGTTCTTCACTTTGGTTGAATTATGAATAAAGAACTTTTGGAATTTTAACCTTCAACAATTAAGTAGTCATAAGTCGCTAACAATAATATAAATATGGTATTTTGGTTTGTATACAATACAAAGAGCAGTTTGGTTAATATATGGTTTTCTGGGTCACAAAAATCTCAATGGATTGTATCAAGTCGATGAAATCGTGTGACAAGCAGTAAACAATGCAACACACCGTGAAAATGGTTTTATTATGACAAGTCAAAATGTAACTGGGTTCATTAACTTCAAGTTAAAATTTTGTGTTAAAATATAAAAAGAAATTCGTAACTTCGCAACCCTTCGAGCAAATAAACGAGTGAATAATGTCTAATATAACTAGTTTATTAAATTTGAAAATTTTGCTATATAAAATTAGATAGGTCTTTTACCATAACCACCTATAGATATGAATATTTAGGACAGAATCATATTATAAATGGTTGTATTACATTATAAGTATTCATTTGTTTTATTGTGCTGATACTTTTAAGTAGTTACATAGATTCACTTCTAATTTCGTCAATATAAGAGCAATGCCGACCCTTAATAACGTACTGATTACCTGCTCTGTGTACTAAAATATAAAACCCAATTTTTAATTCCTATCAATCAATCATGGTAAATTGTTAAGCGACATCAATTTTTTTTTTATTTATTTATTTCAAAGTTATTTTTATTATGTTACGTGATACCTTTGTGCCAACGCTCAAAGGATTTACCCCTTCTGCAAAATGTAAAGTTTACTTCCGTGTTAGTCTCATATTAATTCTCTAATGATCGAAGCTGTCGTTTTTTATTACAAAGCAAAAAAATTGCTTATTTAAAAATGCTTATACGAATTCAATTTGCTTTATAAGTCATTTAAAAAGCAAATTAGTTCCTTCTTCGTACCAAATATTACGTGAGCACCGTAAAAAGTTGTGGATATTGGATAAAAATAAACAAACTTTATCATTGTCATATTAGCAAGGCAAAATATATAATTAATTACAGAGTTCGAAAAAAACGACGAGGCCTTTTTCCTAGTTCTATGTAATTAACATCGGAAAATAACTCAAGGTACTTTTTAGCTTTTCTTTTTTCAGCTCCGATAGAACAGAGATGGGGGCTTATGCGGAAGAACTAGTTAACTCCAGATCTGCTAGGTTCATGCTAGCAGCTGTTGTTGAGGAAACTGGTCTGTAAGTATCAAGATTTTTAATTACATCGTGAATATGCTTAGTGCTATGTTATATAAACCATACCATTTTCCATAGACAATTTTGCTAAAATTTCCTTTTTTGCAGTCCTCCTTCTTTATCATACCAAACACATGTATAAAAAATAAAAAAAATGTATAAAAAGATAAATGGAATATAACTTCCAGTTCTGCCAATAAATAAAAATCACAAAATGACTGTAATTTTATGAAAAAATTATAAATATGATCAACTAAAATATATAAATGCTTAATTCTACAACTTAGGAATTGTCGTAGGACATGTACGGCATACAACATGTCTTTAGTGATGTTTCCTCTCACGAACGATCAAATTATGGAATAAGCTCCTTGTCAAAGTTTTTCCAAGAGACTACAGCATGGCGTTCTTCATAAAAAGGGTAAATAGGCTTCTTCAGGGTCGGCAACTAATGCATGATACCTCTGGTATTGCAGGCATTCATAGGCTACGGTAACTACTTATCATCAGGTGAGCCGTATACTTGTTTGCCACCCCAGTGGTATATAAGTACGACTCAACAAGACGGCACAGAATTTATAATGATACTATTGTGATAAAACCAAATCAATATAGGTTCAATAAAATATTATTGTAAATCCTAATTATGTTCTTAATAAAAAATGCTGATGATATATATGGTATGTATATTTCTATCATTCATTTTATGAAGCTCCGTAGGTTTCAAACGGTACGCTATTTTATTTCGTTGTAAACTGAAAAAGAAGATTTCAATTTAGAGTCTAAACTTACATAAACGGAAACGGAAACTCTTGTCTCAAAGTTATAATTTCTTTCCGGTTTCTGTTTAATCACAAGACTAAAACATCTGCGCTAGTATACAGCTTATTTAAATGGAAGGTTACTGCTACTAAACTGATGAGATCTAAATAATAAACATTTTAATAGGCAAACCTGTGCCCTGCTTACCCTTGATTTAATAGATGACAATGAAATGGTAGCCCCGCCTGCGCTGACGGTATACGCTGGCAAGGCACCAGTGAGGGTTGATAGGTGAGAATGAAAAGGCAGGCCAGTTAGCCCACCGTGATGAATACACCTGAAATTCAGCACGATAAACCACTGTGCTGAATTCCAGGTGTATTCATTCACCAGGGGAGATCGACCTGATAGCAATATATCTTATATTGCTAACAATGGGACTGGTAGTTTGCAATACTAACAATCTCTTCCCCCTGCTTACTCTTGTTAGGACCCTGGCGTAAAGATAAACAGATCCATAATAATTAAAATAAAATTATGTTAATCTAGTCAATAAAATTAGATTTACGTTAGAAATTATGAGACTAAGTAGAAAGAAACTACGCAGTTTCGCCTTCGAGAAGCTTATTCTCTCTTGTTCCCTGTATAAATACACCTAAAACCCTTTTTAGTAGATGTAATATAAGCACGTCACCTTTGTCCAAAGTCATACGTGTGCAGACTTTATGATCCTAGAGATTTTATGATTAATCAGTGAATGTATATATACATACTAGCTTTTATTCGCGACTTCGCCCGCAAGATGGGAATATATCGATTGACCGGAATAAATAGTAGCCTACGTCCTTCTTCATACTATCGTCATCATTTTAGCCGTTAACTGTATACAGCTGAACATAACCCTTCCCTATAAGGGGAAATTTGCCAATGGTTGCCACGCTTTTCAAAATTTCTTTCTTAGTGTTCATCTATGCTATATCTATCTACAAAATTTCAACATTCTACATTCTGTGGATTCAGCTGTTAATATATGAATCAGTCACTTAGCATATATTATATATATATATATATATATATATATATATATATATATATATATATATATATATATATATATATATATATATATATATATATATATATATATATATATATATATATATATATACCTTGTTTATAATACGAGGTTTGTCGAAAGTACGTATAAAAGTTTTTAAAAATTTTATTTTACAATTATTCAGGTAAATCAATTTTATCCCCTTGTTGTGACATAATGCACTTGTGCCACGTTTCCACTGTGAGAAGGCTCCTTGAAAGTCCTCTGGTTGTAGGTTTCTCAGCTGCCCCGTCGTAGCTTTTTTTATCTCATTTATGTCCCCCAAATGCCGCCCCCGAAGTACCAATTTGGTTTTTGGGAACAAGAAGAAGTCACACGGGGCCAAATCCGGCGAATAGGGGGGTGTTCGGTCACCGTAATGGAATTTTTACTCAAAAACTCACGGAACGATCTTGGCGCAAATTTTTTTCATTTGAAGTTCGTTTCTTAGAATTTCGTGGACCACGGTTTTGCCCAAATTAAGCTCTTCAGCCACCTGTCTGACCGTTAAACGACGGTCCCCATTAACACAAGTTCGAATTCTTTCCACGTTTTCGTCGGAATGTGAAGTGGAAGGACGTCCTGAACGTGGGTCATCTTGAACGCTTTCTCGGCCCTCTCTGAATCTTTTTAGCCACTTGTGGACGGTTGGTTCCTTCACAGCATCATCCCCATAAACTGTTCTGAGATCGGCAAAAATTTCACGGCCATTCTTGCCGAGTTTCGAGAGAAACTTGATTACGACGCGCTGCTCTTCAACGGAAGCGGGCTCCATGCCGACGGGGTTTCGTTAAGAGGTAACTTCACAGATGGCGTGACAAGCCAGTTCGCACCGCACGGCGGTCAGACCAGAACTGAAGCATTGTTAGGGACATAAGGAAGGGGTCCTGCGCTTACCTGGCCTCCCCACTCCTCTTTCTCGCATTCCAGAACACTTTTATACGAACTTTCCGGACAGACCTCGTATTAGTAAAGATTATTTAGACGTATAATTTTTTTTTATTACTTAAATATTAATATTTCCACAGCATAATGGCTAATTTAGCGTCACCAATACCAATGATGGACCCCAACACAAATAATGATTCGGGATACGCGCCGTCTCATATTGACGGTGACATCAAAGAGCACACACCGCCTGTATCACCTACCCAGAAAGAACAGAAGAAAGAAGACAAATCCGAGGAGAAGAGTGAAGCACCAAAGAAGCCAGAGTTAAAGTGAGTTTTATAGTGTAATTTATTTACTCAAATTCAAAATAACTTATGCCCAAATACTAAACACATAAAATTTCACAATGATTGGTTAAGCCGGTATAAATAAATATAAATATAAATAGATAAATGAAAAATTTTGGGCCTACCATACTTCCATAGCGCGCCTAGAAAATAAAAGTTAGTATGAGTGACTCGAAATATTATTTCATTTTTGCTTCTAAAAATGTATTACTTATTATTCTACAGTATGGATACTTTCTTAATTTTAAGAACCGATAATTGATACAGAAATATAGTCTCAATAGACAGGATATTTTTTTTTTAATATACTCGCAAATCCACATTCCGAAATGGCAAAATCTTTAATTGCTAAATTTTTATATCAATGATTTATTATTTATTTAAGGTATTAAGTATTTGAATTACTTGGTAAGATTAGGGTATGATAGGGCTGACATATCCTTATAAATAAAATAAAAGCCTCTAAATAGATAAGATAAAAGAGTACCGATAATGACTTCGATATCTCCCTATAGTAATGTATAAATAATTTAAAATATTGTTATAAAGATTTTTCAATAATGCTACCCCACAAACAAGGTTGACTGACAGGTTTTTACTAAAACGTATCCACAATCTAAGCACGTATCCTATTCAAACAAGAATCATAATGGCCGCGTATAGTGCATTTTAAGAAGAGTTTCCTTCCGCGAACATAGTTCAATGTAGGATCTTCATAAAAGGCATGATAAGAGATTATACATTACTTGCTTCTCCTCGGATCTTGTGTTATACAGTTCAACTCTATCTATTATACTTTGATGGAAGTAGAGCGTTGTTTACCTTTCGTGTATGCCTTTAATATGACAAAATAACATCAAATTCTCAGTAGTTCTCAATACTTCGATAGATAAAAATATAACTAACAAGATGATTTGAAGAAGTTAGATTAATTTAGATTAATTATAAACAGTTTATGGTCGCTTTGTTTATTTTATAACATCGTTAGCCTATAGCATTCCCGCTAGAACCATTGATCTGAATTTAACAATAACTTATTGTTAAAATCTACCAAAGATATTTTATTTTACGATTATACGTTAGACCAAAAATGAGGACATACTTTAACAAATACATAAAATACACGCAAAAACATTACCCATATTCAATAGTCGGGTAAAAAAATAGTATACTAGTATGCATATTTGTAAATGTTTTATAGATATCTGACACGTACCATGGATGTACCGTTAAAAATGTATATATCTGAAAAATATGAAAGGTATCAAGTCCAAATATAATATAGTAAATTTAAAGACAAGACATTTAGAAAGGTTACACCTACATACCAACTTAACATACAAATATTAAGGTTTATTCAAATTAAGACATAGGCAAAGCTACGTATAAACATACAATATACCTTTATCAGTCGAGTGATAGTGAAATGAGGGGTATGGAAGTATCATTTTAATTTATTACTTCACCACAGCATGAAAAATACTGCTTACAGTCTTTCTCAAAGTGGGCGATGAGACCCCATTATGCACTGAAGCCTTTCAGGGACGGTAGCCTCAGAGAAAATAATTAAGTTTTTGGTTAGCAAAAAAGAAATACCTATTTCGCTAATTACAAAATATATTTGACATAAATACGAGAATTTACTTCTATTACCTCCCGTATTTGTTTAGAGAAATAAATCGTATTAAATGCAACAAAAAAAATCATAATAAAGACATCAAATACCAGAGGGAGACTTTGTACAAAAGTCGATTGCTTGGGTACCTCTGTCCCATTCGTGTTTCAACCGTGAAGCAGTTGTGTTGGCATGACTGTGTTTCGGTTTGAAGGGTGGGATATGGCGTGAATTTACTGGGTTTAACACCTGAGTCCTCAAGTGGCAACGCATGGGGAGTATCATGGGCGAAACAGTATACTCTGTTATGTCCATAGTACTGCTCATGTCTATAAAAACCACTTTCCATCAGGTGGGCCGTCAGCTTGTTTGCCGTTCTAAGTGGCATGCCAAAAAAAAAAAAAAAAAAAAAAAAAAAAAAATAAAATCAAATAACGAATTAAAAAAATGCATGTAAATTGATAAACTACATCTTATTTAAAGAATATTTTCGTGGGAATTAATAAAAAAACAAAAAGAAATATAGGTAGAGAAATCTTATAACGTTTTCGTTGCGCCACGATTCTTATCCGTTGTTAAAATCCAAATTAAAAAATTAAATTAAAAAAGAACTATTGCTTTATATTTTTCGTTTCTTTTAGTATATTTCAGTAGGAAGGAAAAGAAAGCACTAGAAAAAAATAGGGATGAGTAATGAAAATAGATGATAAGCAAAATGAGTTTGTGGACCTGTGATTTATAGAGCGAACAGTGCATGTTAGTGTCCAATTAGAAATTAAAGAAAAATATTGCGTGTTTATTTCACTATGTTTTATAAAATATATCTAAATAAAAAATAACGTGATGCGAATACTATGTGTATACATAAGAATAATGTATTCTATATACAGGCGTATGTCCTAGAACAGGGGTGTCCAACCGGTCGATCGCGACTATTAGTACAGTCAAAAATATAATATTTCGCTAATCTAGCGAAAGATGTTCAGACGCAATGCTCACACTAAATATAAATAAGTAGTTACTAAGAATAATTTTCAGTTTTATATTTTCCCTCTTAATAAAATAAAATACTACGATTCTACATAATTGTATACTAAACTATGCTATTTATTTTGAGATTTGAACAAGTATGTAATTGGTAGATCGTACAGGGTCTCATCAGTAAACAGTAGATCTTGGATCTAGTCAAGTCGGCTACCCCTGCTCTAGAATAACAAACTTTTATTATGTGCTAGCTTTTAGCCACGACTTTGTCCGCGTGACCCGGATATGTCAATTGACCGGGATAAATAATAGCTTACATCCTTCGTTATCCCATATATTATGTATGTAGCAAATTTAATAACGATTGGTTAAGCCCTTAAGGCGCCAAGAGGTAACAAACAAACTTTCTCAGACACTATTAGTAAGGATTTATGGATGATATTTACGCTAAGAAGTAACAAACAAATGCACTCACTCACATTTATAATATTATTAAGGATTTATGTGGCTGTGTGCGACGTTTGACAGAAAGAATTCAGTTAAAAAAAGTTAATACTTTCAAATAAGGAAACGTAATTCATTCACAGACAAGAAGTCAGGAACATTCAGTTCTCCGCTTCTCCTTTCATTACTGGAACGTAAAACACCGTGAAAACAATGCATTGATTAGTTTAGAGGAAGCAATCGAAAAGTTTGATAGGATTGCGCGTACCCGTGTCAACTTGATTATTGAACCTATGTACATACATAGGTACATACCTACATTCAATCGTGTATATCTGTTCTTCTTTTTATTTGGCTTAATTAGTAAATAATTGTTGCATGCTTATAACTATAACTGACTTATAAATAAAATCCGTGTGATGACGAAGTTAGATTATACCATGCCACCAGCCCTTCCTGTCCCCAAGGATTTATATAACACAAGATTGAGTTATCATCATAATATCAGCTTCTAACAGTCCACTGTTGAACATAAGGCTCCTCCTTGGAGGAGGGGGGGAGGGTTTGCCAGTAGTAGCTACGCTTGACAAGCGGATTGGCAACCGCAGTTAGACTTTGGAGATGTTTTAAGAGGGACACTGCTGCCCATCCCTTGCCCTCCTTTAGTCGCCTCTTACGACACCCACGGGAAAGAAAGGGGTGGCCAATTTTATGCTGGAACCATACGGTGGACAATATTTAGTACTATTAATAATTATTATTGCACATTTAATTAGACTTAAAAATAATGAGTTTAAATCATATACTCGTATATTACTATAATTTTACGCTTCATATACGTGGATTTCAAAAGCAGGAAAACCAATGGAAAACATTATGTAGTGGACATAGCACATCAGATATTAAATTAAGCCTTCAGGAACATAATTATGTAAACTGTATCCAATTTAGTGAAACAGTTTTTGCGTGATGCCGAAATAAACATAAAGGCAGACGGGCAAAATTTCTAAAAAATTAAAAACACAAATTTTTCTTATATATCTCTCATGCCTGCCTGTAGCATCGCGTAGTTACAATTTTATTATATTTGTAAGATTACAATAGACTTAGGCATATAGATTGATGTAGATTATACGTTGAAAAAGCTTTTAAATTTACTTAAACTTAAATTATAAGCTATATATAAGCTTCTTAAATTAAAATTATTTCAACAAAACACATACGAAGATATCAATCTAAATTGAATTACGTAAAAAATAACCCGAGCGCTTATAAACTTTAACCGAAAGTGATTCTATTATCACATTACATTAGCTATCTAAATGAATTCATCAGAGCCCTGAGAACAACTTCAACTAAAGAAACGATTGATGCTCTATCAACCGAAATCCAATTCAACTGGTGTGAAATCAGTGAAGCAAATCTTGAGTTTGGTCGTCTGAAAGCAGCCTATTCATTCAGTTGGCTTAAAATGGTTAGTACATTTATTCATAGGTTATCTATACGTGGAATAGGATTCTATTGGCCTATTTAAAGATTAATAATACTAGACTAGAAGTTTCGATCAACAATAAAGGTTTCTTGACTTAATTTATTCAAGAAACCTAATAAAATGTTAATATTCTTTTATATAAGTTAATAGAGTTAAATATAAGTGAATATTTACGAATAATAGTGTAAATGGAATATAAGCAATACATAATAGAGTAATAGACATGCGATAGATAAAGACAAGTCCAAAACCTTGAATAATAAGAAACATGGCTCAATTTATTATTCAGATTATTACTTATTTTGTATTCTGTGACCAGTTATAACACATTTTATTTCCACCATTAAATATATTATACGTTTTGATGAAAATGTACTACACAGATAAGAATATTATTATTACTTTATAATAATGAAGTATTAAGTATTACAATTTCACAACTAAAATTTTTAGATTTATAATTAGATTTCCATTTAAAAGATGGAACAAGGTATAAGGTACCGAGCCATAACACATAAATCCTCAGAAATGTCCTCACATATATATAAATATAACTTAACTCTAATTATAGTCACAGTACCCATGCAAACTTAAAATTGTCTTGATAGATTATATTTTTTACATATTTGTATATAATATAATTTTGTGTATAATTAACATATAGTTTAATAATTATACGCAAGTTATAAATAGTCTTGTACATAATAATTTGAAAAGAGTAACTCTTGAGTTTCTTGAGAGTTCTTCTCAACGAATAATAACATCCAGAACGCAGCAGTAGAATCACAAAAATAATTACGATTTAAAAGAGCTTGAAAACTGGTTTATTTTCATAAAAATTATTTCTATTCTATTCTATATGAGGATTAGCATGAATGTTACAGTATAATTTGTGAAGCACATTGTACTATTTTTTCTGTAAACCCCACTAATCACTTTTCAGTCGATGGGTCGTCAGCTTATTTGCCGTTATTAGTTGCATAAAAAACACTTACCTGTACTAAGAAAATTATCCCCAATATGCACTTAGAGTAAAATTTAGGTTTTATCAGACTGACATCGTCGTGAAACTCATTCCACAAGAAGTTACAACGCAAAATTTAAATTGAACATTATTGCCACCGGAGCGCTGAGTTTGCAAGCATTGTGGTTTCTTGCATATTAAATATATGTACATATAGTCTACACACATGGTTCTCTATAGAATAGATATACATATATAAAGGTTTTCTGTCGCAAACTTAATGTGTAATTTAGTCCGTAATATCTCTATGGTGTATAATATATATTTAACATGAATTTGAAACAAACAGAAAACTTAGAAACACTGTATACCATTATCATCATTACTGTATATTATGTATATTACATGTTTCTTGAGTTTGGTTCCCGGGTGGGCGCAGTTCACTTCAGAACTGTTCGATGCCCACCCGAAAAACGGGAACAGAGTTTTCAGTTATGGGTAAAGCCATGTTAGGAGTACATACCTATGCACCTTTTCCAGGGGCCTACCTGGATAGGTAGTCACATAATAAGCAACCACGTAATTATATTATTATTATTATTTGAGAGAAATTTCAGAAGATATTACTCGCGCATTACACATCCCTGTGCCTTTAAGATCTTGATTCAGAGTCCCTAGAAATTTCACCGTCGTAATTCACTCTACATACCGGAAATCATGGCGGCAGATATGTTAACAGTGTAACAGTTACTCAAAAATACCGTGTTATATTCACAGAAAGAAATTAAGCCGACTTAGCAGTAGCTCAGTGATATCAACACCTCGCCGGAGATTTCGGAGCGCTGCCTCCGCAGCCAGGTTCACCATCTTCAGAGCCAACAGAGCCGGGAAACTGCGTGCGAAATCCTTTGCTAAAAAAGAGAAAAAAGCTACACAAACTCTCGCCATAGTTTTAGGTAAGTACCTATCTACACAGACGGAGGGAAGAGATTGTTAGTAATAAGGACTAGCGGCCCCATTGCTAACAATATACCTGTCAAGTCAACCATCACATGGTCCTCCCAGGAAAACGTCATAGATAATTTCTGATGAATTCGTAACTATGGGCCAGTTGACGTGCTTTCCTCCTCATCTAACATACCATACTGGTACCCTACCAACGTATACAGATAGCGCAGGCAATGTTACCATTCCATTACCATTTAATATGATCTACATAAACGTGAAAATATCGTCTAAATAAATAATATAATACATTTAATATAACTGAGAAGTTAAAGTTACGATATCTTAGTACAAATAGTTGCTTTTTCATCAAATCTCATAAAATGAAGTCGTTGAGTTTTCTTGAATGCAATCAGAAATGGTTAAGATTAATCTTTCTAAAACGTAAACCTCTAAAATGTCACGTGATTGCAAATGGTTATTTTATTATACGTGTAATATAGTGTTTTATATAATGACAATAATATTCTAAAATATTATTTTAGATTTTAGCATAAATATCGATTTTTTTTTAATATTTCTTTTGATATTGTATAATGATTTATGATTGATATGTAATATACCAAATTTTATGGGTTTCCATTATTATTTCTTTATAAAAATACATCAAATTATCGTTTATATACTATATAATAATAAAAACCTAGTAGGCTTTAACTCGATAAGAGATCGCGATACAATAATAAAGGTCCCCAAAAAGGATATTGAAAATTTGGTGATATTTTCTTTATTCATACCTTTGTGTAACCAAAGAATAACACACAAACCTAAAAATATCTCCACTTATTTATCAAGTTTTAAGTTAGACTTCATTTTTATTATACGTAAAAAATCAACTATATATAACAATTTATATATTATGCTTTTATATTTCGGAATATAAATTAATGTAGTCGTATTTGAATTTTGATACTGTTAACTTTAAATAACTTTATTATTTATCATTTCATAATTCTTGTTTAAATTACTTTTCTGAAGGTATATTTGTAAATCATATAATGGAGATATGACAGTATGAAATATAAAAATCACTTAATGTTGTCAAGTTTGTACGTAATCATCATAAAAGTACTTTTATTATTCCATTATTTTAATGTAACATTTTTCTTATTCTTATATTTAAATTAATTGCGAGAAAAACTACATGATGTAATTACAATTGTTATGATCATCCCTGTAGTGTCGGAATAATAATAGAGATGAAAGCCGAAATTCGAACTTGCCGCAATTGTAGATGAGCTCAAGTAGACTGTTAATCACTGCACATTATGTTCTCCTTTTATAATTTTAATGCTAATCAACAATGTGCCATTGTTAATTGCTACTTTTAATATTAGCACTATTCTTAACTTCTTTGAAAATATTTTTTACTTATCTTTTTTTCTCTTCACAGGTGTGTTTCTCTTCTGTTGGGCCCCGTTCTTCAGTTGCTCCGTCCTCGATGCTCTCTGTGCTAAATTTGACCTGCCCTACTCACCAGGAGTCACCGCTTTTATCCTAACTACATGGCTGGGTTACATCAACTCCTTCCTAAACCCAGTTATTTATACTATCTTCAATCCAGAATTCAGGAAGGCTTTCAGAAAGATCCTCAATTGCGGCACCTAGCCCATAGACTTTTACGTCGTTTACAATTAATAAACCCACCGATTTTGTAATTAGAAGAATTCCTGATCAATTACTGATAAGTGTAAAATACTAATTTGATAGTCTAAATGTAATCACACTAACCTATCTAGAGAAATATTATTTTATTATATACATAAAAAAAAACAAATAAAGAAAACGCTAATAAAAGTGCATAGTTCTGTAAAAAAAAAACTTCAAGTCTGACTATTTATCATTTGAATATTTTTTTTTATTGTAATAATCGTATTAATAATTATGTTTTATATTTCAATAAAAAACAGTTAACGTATAAATTGAGTATTTAATTATTTTTGCAAAATAATTATATATTGAATTTTTCGGAATCCGCCACAAACTAAAGTTCCTGCCCAACTATCTGAATGGGTGGCGGACCTCCACAGTGCGTTTTTCAAGACCCTTTCTTCCACGCACAACCACACTTTGGAACCAACTTCCATCAACTATATTTTCGAACCGATACGACATCGTAAATTTCAAGAAAAGTACATACTCCTATTTACAAGGCACACCTGCAATGCCTCTGGTGTTGCGAGAGCTCATGGGCGGCGGTAGTCATTTACCATCAGGTGAGCCGCTTGCTCCTTTGCCCCCCTGTATTATAAATAATCTACGTACTCAGAAAGACGATATTATAAAAGTAGTAATTATTTTGAAAATGTTTTTACTTAATTTGAAGTAGTTATTCAAAAGAATGATTTTTTTTACGTGCGAATAAAAGTGTCTTCTCTCTTTAATTAATATCTTTTTAATTGTAAGGATGCTATTTTACTATGTGTTACAATCACATCAGCCTATTTTCTAAACCCCATGAAATTCCCTCCCAGGATATTTGGAGGCATAACCTACAGCTCCTAGATTAGGAAGCTAATCTTTGTGGATTTCTAAATACAGTTTCACCTGATGTTAAGTGATAATGCAGTCTAGGATATTGCACATAAACTCCAAATATCGAATAGTTTTTACTGTAGACATGCAAAACTCCATTAATCTAAAAACACAGACGCTGGAAGATAATTCCACTTCTTAGTATTTCGAATGAGTAACGACAAAGGAAAACGCTAACAAATTGGAATTAAATCATTCCCCACATCTTATGGTCTAATAGAGAGAAGATACTAGAGGAGTAATGTGTTGAAAACTCCTACATGAAATTTGTTACAAGCATTACGATTGTAGCACTCTTCCGTCCGTTCTCGCGCCGTGTACGGACGTGTGTTGTATTGTGTTTGCAATAAATAAGCTTTATTTCATAAATCTTGTTGTATTCTCTGAAGAAAATTACAATCCATCTCTTCGACATAACGTAATGCATCTCTCGCATACTTTTTCGAAAAACTATCGAATACTAGAACACTCAAACAAGCTAACAATAAGTTAGGTACTTAGCTTGTTTGTCGGTGTTTACTTTTAGTTTTATTAATTACTATATAAACCTCTATATTTTAGAAATGCCCCCTATGGTTGTGATCTTTTACTCTAAAATATCTATGTACAGCTATAACATTCTAATATTTATATTTGAATAGATTTTATAATATATTTATTACAATATAAAATTCATTAACTATAAAATAATAATCTCAGTTATAAATATTTTGGCCATTCCACATTACTTGTCATTAGAATGTATATATATTAATGTAAGTAGTTAATGTTGGTACTCGTAGTATAATGAACTGTATTTATTATCTGTGATTTTGTACATGAATCAGTGCCATGCGAAGGTCTTATTTTATTTTTTAAAGAAAATTTCTAAGTTTATATATCCTCAGTCAATCCTATTCCGTGTATAGCATAGTATTTTATTATCTGTAGTATAATAATAATATAAACGATCTCTATTTACTTACATAACAGTTATGTAGAACAATTGAAACTACACTTATGTTCCATTTATCTACAAATACTACGTGGATTTCATGAAGATAACTCCACAATCAGACCCTAATCAATGTTTGACAACCAACTGAAATCAAACGACTTTGAATATAATGTTTGTATTGTTTTTACAAAGTTTTAACCAAACTATGAAATCCATTAACAGGTCAGCTCTAATGAAATCATAATATTGCATTGTCATTCAATTTCTCTTGGGTATTTAACTAGCAAGATTGGACAAACATAGGGCTGAGAAACGTAATATAAAATTCATAGTTTAAATTTTCTAATTAAAGTTCATTGGATTGAAATGTCAAGAGTACGCTTTTATTTTGATTCGAATTAATCAATTTTTTTAATAAGTTTTTAAAATATGTATGCTCAAAAATTTCTGTCCATATCTGTAAGTAAAACCAAAGAAATATTATATATATTATGAACACGTGTAAATTGAAGAAAATTTGGTAGAATTTTTAATAATTTTACATTACACTGCACCCAACACTAATGAACAAGTTACCGCAAATATTTTTTAATGTAAATAATTGTAAAAACAACCAAGTACGAGTATAATAACGATTAAATTTGTCTTAAATTTTTGTCGTAGTGCTCATTAGCTATGCAATGAATGGGTACGATCCGCCTGATGGTAAATAGTTAGTAGTTAAAAAGAGCAATACCATTGTACCATGTATGTGTTGCTGAGATTTTGATATACGAGTATGTATGTACTCGTATATATAATGTAGTCACCAAAATAAAAATATAAAGGGGTAATTCTCAAAAATCACAAAACACTGCGAGAGAAAAATGTCCATTTCTACAACCTAGTTATAATATACTTGTAAAAGATCAAAAACGTCTAGATAAAGTGTCTCCTAAAATTGCTTCAACACAACCTATATTTTTTTAACGTCGCTTTTATCGATGTGACTTTAATTACACACGCTATAATTATATTTGATTATAAACAATAAACTTAATTTAAGCTTTTTGTGTATTAGCTAACCTTTTCTGATTGTATTTATTTGTTTTTGACAGACTACCCTCTAGTTAATTTTAAAGTTTCACGTTGTTTACACATATTTCAAATACACAATCGGGAATCGGGACTTGACGCGTGCGTGTCGTGACCACAATGTGATGCAATCCACGTTGATACGTCAGCAATAAAGAAGCAGGTATATAGATACTATTTACCTGCAAAGATTTTTTCATCGCGTGAAGTACTTATTGTGTATTTAAAATAAGTCTACGCTCTATCTAGATGATTTGAGATCCACGCTGTAACAAATAATTTTTTCAAATATTTTTTTATAATAAACCGGCCATAACATTTTGGAATACTTATCTATAATTAAATGATTACTCATATAGATTACGATGCCAAAGATAGTTAAGGCTATGCATATTAGAAACGAATTAAAAATGTACATAATTATTACTTAATGTTAATTGTATAAATGTTAGAGGAATGAAATGTTGTACGATTTGATGTTAAAATAAATGGAAAGTAATAAATATGTTTTTTTTTTTTTTATATTAATCCTTTATTTTTCACAGTAAAAGTTTTTAGAAGAAAACCGACATCAAAACTTATACGTGGTCGAAGTATCGATAATTTAAAAATATTGTTTAATATTGTTTTTTCTAGAAATATCTTAATTAGACCTTTTACCAAAGGAAGACATTGTACAAAAGTCGATTACTTAGATACCCTCTGTTCCATTCGTGTTTCTACCAATAAATATTTGTTTGCATAGCCATATTTCGGTTATTATTACGCCGACCCCAAATAATAATTGGGATAAGGGTAGGAAGATGATGATGATGATGATTTCGGTTTAAAGAGGAAGGCAGAGAAATTACAGGTTACAGAGGCATAACACCTTTGTCCTCAGAAACGGCAACGCGTAAGGAGCGACAAAGTGTACTCTCTTATGTTCACAGTAATGTATATAGGCGACGGCTACCACATTCCGTCAGGTTGGTCGTCAGCTTATTTGCCATTATAAGTTGCATAAAAGAAACCTTCATTTTGACTTAACGGAACCAGAGGGAGACTTTGTACAAAAGTCGATTGCTTGGGTACCTCTGTCCCATTCGTGTTTCAACCGTAAAGCAGTAGTGTTTGCATGGCTGTGTTTTGGTTTGAAGGGTAGGATATGGCGTGAATTTACTGGGTACAGAGGAATAACACCTGAGTCCTCAGGAATGACAACACATGGAGGGTATCATGGGCGAAACTGTATACTCTGTTATGTCCATGGTACTGCTCATGTCTATAGGCGACGGTTACCACTTTCCATCAGGTGGGCCGTCAGCTTGTTTGCCATTCTATGTTGTATAAAAATAAATAAAATAACTCCACAATAAAATCTCACATGAACGGAGATTTAAAAATTTCTATAAAGGAATATATAAATACATTTTTTATTTAATTTTAAACAAAACACAGCTAACCTAGATCACTCTATAATGCTGTAAATTCAATTAAACTCCAATCCAGTAAAGTAACTAAATTGACTCCTTCGTTTAGAATTAGGCAAATAACTTTTATGTCTCGTCTGTACGCAATTCAATTGAGAGAGAATGAGATTACTGCATGTAGTACTACCATATTTACATGCAAAACTGCCCTCATATTTGCATTTAAATATTAGTAGCTACGTATGCCGACCACACACTAGGACAATTATCCAAGATACAGCTGTAATACAGAGGGACCAGAGCAAATCATACAGAGCAAATGAATTAAATTTGATTATTTATTTATTTACTCTTTATTACACCACTTAAAGATAAACATAGATACATTTATGGAGTACAAAAGGCGATCGTATCGCTAAAGCAATCTCTTCCACACAATGTTTTGGTATATATATTATATTATTTTACGGATTATTTTTGTGATTTTTTATTATTTAAGTTTTATTGATTAAAATAGACTATAAGCTTTGATTCTATTGTTTTATTCTAATCGACGCTGTATTTTCTCATAATATGATCGATGTCGATAACATATTTTTTAAGAATTAATTTTATCGTAATTTAAGTAGCTGTTTTATAGTTTAATGGACCTTTGATCTCAACTGTCCCTGCCTACTCCACAAGAGACTTGACGTGAAAATAATTAAAATATTTGGTAATTTCCTCGTGAATTCGTCACGATGCTGCGATGGGTCAACTGAAGTGACAAGGGGCGGGGGGAAGGGATTATTAGTAAAAAGGATTTAACAACTCCATAGCTAACAATATACCCACCAGGTCGACCTCCACGCGATTAGATCCTAAAAACTATCTTATATATATATATATATATATATATATATATATATATATATATATATATATATATATATATAT